GGAGGAAGTGGGAGAGTAAGGGGAGGAAGAAAAGGTGGAGGAATAGGAGGAGCAAGAGGCGCAGGTAGTACAGGAAAGAGGCGGAACCGAATGACCAGGGCATAGAGAGCAAGAAGCGGAAGCGGAAGGAGGGAGCAAAAGGCGCAGGAGAAGGGGAGAAGTCACTGGGGGGATTGGCGGGATTGGGGGGATTTGCTGGGTCGGCGCGGTTGGCGGGGAAAGAAAGTTGCGGCCGGAGCACCAAGGCGGACATGGTTGCCAAGGAAGCTTCTGTGAAGGACACTCCAGGGAAGGTGAAAAAAATGCAAGGAGGAAAGAGAACGAAGGAGATGCAGCGGTGGAAACTGGGGTTAGGAAGGGAAAGGCGGGGAAGGCAGAGGTGGGTGATACGGAAGAGAAGGCGGGGACGGGGGAGAATGCTGCGAGGGAGGCAGGGAGAATGCTGCGCGAGAGGCGGCGAGAATGCTGCGCGGGAGGCAGGGAGAATGCTGCGCGGGAGGCCGTCAGAGATTCCCGTCAGAGAAACGGTGCAGCATGTGTCCTGAGAGGAGGGAGTACAGTTGGGGGTTCAGGCGGAAGGCTGGGGCGAGGAGGCTTGGGAAGTGGAGGGTTGGGTTGTTGAGGGTTGGGAGGTGGAGGCTCGGGGTTTATCTTCATGCCAAGCAGAGAGTCTCTGAACAGATTTATTGGCCAGCAAAGACACGGTGTGGCAGCACACGTCCTACTCCTCTTGCCCTCTTCTCCGCTGCCCCTCACTTACACCCATCTTCCCCCTTGCCTCCTTCCCCCCTCACCCCTATCTTCGTCTTCATTGCTTCCCTCCTGCCCCTTACAACCATCATCCCCCTTGCCTCGTCCCCCCATTGCCCCCTCACACCCATTTCCCCCCCTTCCTCCTTCCTCTTTGCCTCCTTCCCCCTTGCCTCCTCCCCCCATGCCCCTCTCACCCATTTTCCCCCTTGCCTCCTTCACCCCCTACCCCCCACACGCATCAGGAGTGGCGGGGGATTTGATGGCCCGCCACACAGGCGTTCGCCAAGCAGGCGTATGGCATCGTGATGAGGCGCCATCCTCTCTCCTCTCCCCATCCCACCCCCCTCCCTTCTGAACCTACTCAACATGATTACAAAAAGGCATCTTTTCTGCATCCGCCCCCCACTTCTCATCCCCCCCACTCCCCTACTACCTTATTCTCTTCCTCGGACGAATACGGTACTTGGAGTGGCTTGTGTTGGGCGGCGTGAACTTGATTAGATGCAATATATATTATAAGAACATATGAACGCTGCTTGTTTATGAGTATAATACCAATCATTGTGTTTTTTAGTACCATAGTGCGTTTTGAGCAAGGCTAGCTCTGCTGTTGCTAATTGCAAAATCCTTGTACAACACGAAGCAGGGAGAACACACGTCTGTCATGGAGGACATGACAAGGCCAAGGCAAGGCCCATGTGACATCATGTTATCCACCCGAACTCTACGGCACACAGATGGTGGTGGACTTAGGGCGGCCCGAACATGTGTAGCCATTGTACTGCTTGAACTGCGAAGCGCTGGTATAGTACTTCGCAATTATGACTTTACAGGCTGTCGACTTAGACACCGCCACCTTCTTTCCTATTTTGCAAGCACCCCCAGCCATACTCGGAAGACCTGGAAGGAAAACGGAGGGCGAGTATAAGTAGCGAACAGAAACAGCAGAGCAATCCAAAAACAGCCAGGCCACAGAAAGGTTACCCTACAGAGATGAACCAGACATTCGCATGTGAGAATCACGAGGAGAAAGTTTAGAACAAGAAAGAGGGGTTGCACTAGCAAGCAGTTGAGTACATATAGGAAACCCTAGATTGGGCTGTACTCGCTATAGAGTACCCCACTGCAGGCTAGACAAATACAACATTCTGACACACCCCCATAGCCAAAGTGGGGTGTAATCAGCAGAGCACGCAGTCATAGAGCAGGTTCACAAATGCAAGCAAAGCTAGAGGCTATCACAGAGGGCAAGTGAGGAGGAGAGACTGTGGGGCCGAGAAGATAGAAGGCGACTGCTGAAGCTGCAGACACACAGAAGCTGCTGGCTCAGTGGCTACCGAAGCAAAGGCCCGGACTACAGGAGTAACTGGCTCCGCGGAGATTATAGCCTCCTGACTGGAGCAACTGACCCACAGGCGACTGGCGACTACCGGAGATTGTAGCCTCCGGACTACTGGCGCTGCTGACGACACGACGGTTGCCTCCACTCAACCCCCCCCCAGCTGCCCCACGCCCCTATCACACACCCCCTGCTGCACCCCTAGCTCCACTCCCACGACACCCCCCTAGCATCACTCCTTCGGCTCCCACACACCCACCCCCCTGAGCGGCAGCTGCAGCAGCGGGAGACGGAGGAGGAGGAGGAGTAGGGGACGGCGCACACAACCGGCACCCCACAACCGCCACCCCCACACTCCCCACCCCCAAACCCTAAAACGGGTGGCAGGGGGTAGGAGTGCGGGGGACGGCTAGGGGGACGGCGCGCGGCCCCCAGGGCGCCACCACGGGGTAGCGAGGGGCCGCGCGCGGCTCCCCAGGGCGCCGCGACGAGGTAGCAGGGGGTCGCGCGCGGCTCCCAGGGCTCCGCGACAGGACGGCAGGGGCCGCGCGCGACACCAGAGCGCCGCGACGTGACGGCAGGGGCCGCGCGCGCCTTGCCCGTGCGCCGCGACAGGACGGCAGGGGCCGCGCGCGACACCCCAGGGCGTCGCAACGGACGGGCGGGGGGCGCGCGCGGCTCCCTAGGGCGCCGCGACGAAACAGCGGGGGCGGTGCGCCAGGAAGGAAAGGGGTCGCGCGCCCCGGGGAGCGCGCTAGAGAGTAAATCGCCGCGCGCCATAGGTCGCACGCCACGGGGCGTGCGACAGATCAAGTAGCAGCGGAAGCAGGTTGGTGGGCCCACAGGCCAAGGAAGGACACGCTCTGATAGCATGTGAGAATCACGAGGAGAAAGTTTAGAACAAGAAAGAGGGGTTGCACTAGCAAGCAGTTGAGTACATATAGGAAACCCTAGATTGGGCTGTACTCGCTATAGAGTACCCCACTGCAGGCTAGACAAATACAACATTCTGACATCGCACTACCACGAGTTTGTCGGCTCGTTTAGTAAAAAAAAAAAAAAAAAAAAAAAAAAAAAAAAAAAAAAAAAACGCGCGTGAACTCACCAGCAGAGACGAGGAGGACGACGAGAATCGCTGCGATCAGGAGCTTGATATAAGTCCTCATTGTGTCAATTAATCTGAACTTGTCGGCGAAGGTAAGTCAGCGGCAGATGAAATGACGAGTATGGCGAGAAGGCGATGCCGCAGCAAGTAGTATTCAATCAGGCAAGCTCAGTATCTTCTGACTGAGAGTGTCCAGTATGGCTCCGCTTTTATCCCTCTGCATGCGGCTTACTTCAAGTTGAAGCTGTGTCAGCAAGTCGAACGTGGTCATTGCCATGATGACTCAGCTTCGCGGAAGTCAATCTGTAGCGACTAAGTCACAGTCAGCTGGTCCCCACCGCGCCACCCTCTTCTTTCGCCTCGAGTCATAAATTTAGGTACAGTAGTAACGTCTTGTCCAGTATCATGCCTCCGTTCTTATCCCTCAGCCTCGGCAGCCAACTTGAAGCTGAGTCAGCAAGTTTCACAAGCGGTCATTGCCCTTCTGACCCAGCTTTAGGAGGCATCTGCCAATGTTCCTTCCAATCCAAACACGCGGTCACAGCACAAGCGATACCTACCTGCCCATGAATGCGGAAAGCCAGGGTCTGCCTTGCAGCGCCACGCCGAAGTCACATCACAGTCAGCAAATGTCCTCCCCGCACCACCCCCTTTTTTCGCCTAGGTTAGGTGTGCGGGAGAACCCAGCAGGCAACCAATCGATGAACACCGCACACAGAATGTGGGGAGGACCTTGGGTGACCTGATCTTCCAAGCAGTGATTCGGGCAGCCCCAACAGTCGCTGCGACGATGTGTGTGCTCAAGTTTTGGCAACTGCAGTTTGGCAGGGCAGGTCAGTTCGACCTGGCGTCAAGTACACCTCCTTCAAATCTACTCGGCACACTGTACATGTGTGTAAGGAATTGTAATTCCTTACTGTACTCGCACTTTAGCGAGTACATCCCGAGGGTCACGCGACGAACCTGTTCTGCCTAATTCGTCGGCCGAACCACTCCCGAGTCGGCCTCCGCCCCAATCGCAACCATCACCGAGCCATCCTCGCCCTACCTCTTCGCCTAGCTAGGATTCCCCTTATAAATTCCCGTCACTTTCCTTGTATCGTCATTCAGTAATTCAGTAGTCAATTCATTCTGTTATTCGTTTTACTGTGCACTCTGCAAGTTCATTCATAACAATGTGCGATAAACTGGTAACCCCACGCCAAACCGAATCTGATCCCTGCGAGGAAACCCCCTACCTGCCACCAAAAACAGGTACGTACTTCCCGAATTTGAACTGAGTCGAGACTGGAACAAAGGCACCTGTATAACACGTGCTTCGTTTCAAATAGAACCCTTTTAGCAGTTCCATCATAGATGGCGGGCTTTCGCGTTCCCAGCAAAACGCTTTCACACTGATCCGTAAATCTCAAGCAGTTTAGCTTTCCCTAGGCTCGAAAGTGCAGAATCTCTCTTACTCTCATCGCGTTATTCACGGTGATCAACTGAACTCGCGCCGAATTTAGGGTTTCTCTGCTGTAGTCCCGCTTCCGCTCGCATGACTCGCGACGTACCCTCTTCGGACTTTGCGAGCGACGACGGCTTGCACAGCGTCACGCCTCCTTGAAAATCAATCTTTCTCCACCGCTTTAGTTGCAATCGCTCCTCCCGTTCTCGGGAGAGAGAAAGCCGTCTCTTAGTCGGAGTATTTTGATAGCGGTACTGCGACTTGGCTTTTCGCGAGGGTTTGAATGTAAAAAAAAATCTGACATATTTTGTTTCCCCGGGCCGGAAAAATGCTAAGAAAAGAGCGGCGGGGATGGAATGGTGAAGGGTGAAAGGGGCTTAAAAGTAGCGCGTGAGGTACGGGAGGAGTTTAAGGGGGCGGGGGAGAAGAGGAGGGAGAAGAGGAGATTACGGGGATCCGATGAGGGAAGGGCGGAGTCACGGGGAAGAGGGAGAGGGAAGCGAGGAAGATGGGGAGCGAGAGGAGGGAGCGAGTGGAGGGAGTGGAGGGAGAGGAGGGAGAGGAGGGAGAGGAGGGAGAGGAGGGAGAGGAGGGAGAGGAGGGAGAGAATAGAGACAAGGGAGAGGGGGAGGAGGAAGAACAAGCCGCGGAAGAGAGACGAGGAGAACGAGGGGGAGGAGGAGGAGGAGGAGGAGGAGGAGGAGGAGGAGGAGGAGGAGGAGGAGGAGGAGGAGGAGGAGGAGGAGGAGGAGGAGGAGGAGGAGGAGGAGGAGGCAAACGATGAGGATGATGAGGAGGAAGTGGAAGAGTAAGAGGATCAGAAAAGGAGGTGGAGCAGCAGGGGCAGCAGGAGGAGTAGGAGGAGCAGGAGGAGCAGGGCTCAGAGAGCAATAATCGGAAGCGGAAGGAGGTAGCGAAGTGCGCGGGAGAAGGGGAGCAGGCAGGAGGGAGGGAGGGGGGGAGGGGGAGGAAGGGGGAATACGGGGCGGCAGCACACAGGCCAGCAGATATACGGGGCGGCAGCAGGAAGCACTCAGCTCAGCAGAAGCCGAGTTATGAGGTGCCTCAAAAACTGGCCAGCCATGAGAATAGCCTTTTCCCTCCTTTCTCCATGCCTCCCACACCTCCCCTCCCCTCCTCCCCTCCCCCCCACTCCCCCACCCTCCCCCTTCCCTTTTTGCCTCTCTCCCCCCTCCGTTTATTTCCACGTCTTTGAAGCGCCTCCTTCCCCCCTGCTCCTCCCACCCATTTCCCCCTTGCCCCCTTCCTCCCTGCTCCTCCCACCCATCTCCCCCTTGCCCCCTTCCCCCCTGCTCCTCCCACCCATCTCCCCCTTGCCTCCTTCCCCCCTGCTCCTCCCACCCATTTCCCCCTTGCCTCCTTCCCCCCTGCTCCTCCCACCCATCTCCCCCTTGCCTCCTTCCTCCCTGCTCCTCCCACCCATCTCCCCCTTGCCTCCTTCCCCCCTGCTCCTCCCACCCATTTCCCCCTTGCCTCCTTCCCCCCTGCTCCTCCCACCCATCTCCCCCTTGCCTCCTTCCCCCCTGCTCCTCCCACCCATCTCCCCCTTGCCTCCTTCCCCCCTGCTCCTCCCACCCATTTCCCCCTTGCGCCCTTCCTCCCTCCCCCCTGCCTCCTTTCCCCCTCCTCCTCCCACCCATTTCCCCTTGCCTCCTTCCCCCCTGCTCCTCCCACCCATCTCCCCCTTGCCTCCTTCCCCCCTGCTCCTCCCACCCATCTCCCCCTTGCCTCCTTCCCCCCTGCTCCTCCCGCCCATCTCCCCCTTGCCTCCTTCCCCCCTGCTCCTCCCACCCATTTTTCCATTGCCTCCTTTCCCCCCTGCTCCTCCCACCCACCTTCCCCCTTTCCCCTTACAACCATTCACCCCTTAGCCTCCTTCCCTCCCCGCTGCCCCTCTCAACCATCTTCCACCTTACCTCCTTCGTCCCAGCCCCACAACAAGCAGGTGTTAGCATTGTGATAGGCGGGATCCTCTCAGGCCCCCTTCCCACCCTTTTCTTTTGAACCGAGTCAACATGGCCTCCTTGGCGACTCAAATGCCATCTTCTTCCCCGACCCCACCGTAACGAGTTGACTTTTGAGTCACGACTCCTCTCAGCCCCCCTTCCCACCCCTTTCTTTTGAACCGAGTCAACATGGCCTCCTTGGCGACTCAAATGCCATCTTCTTCCCCGACCCCACCGTAACGAGGTGACTTTTGAGTCACGACTCCTCTCAGCCCCCCTTCCCACCCCGGCGACTCAAATGCCATCTTCTTCCCCAACCCCACCCTCCGTTCTCCCATCTCCCACCAGCTTCCAGCCTATCCTCGTCCTTGGACCTTCTGAGTGGCTCGGGATATGATGTTCCACCATAAGACCTTCGGCATTGTGATGGGCGGACCAATTTTCAAGTTTGAATCGCTACGCACCGGGTACCAAGTCTGAAGTACGGGATCCAAGTTTGTCCATAAGAAGGATGCAATGTAGATTCTTTAAAAGTAAATGAAACATGTTATTCAGATGTGTTGTACAGGATTGGTGTCACCGCATCTGATATACTACATTTCATAATACATAGTAAGCCAATTCACCACAAATTGAGGAAGAGTTGCAGGCCTAACCTGGCTGCAGGGGCAGCGACAGTGCAAAGCCTCGCTTTTGACACAATTATGGCACACAGAGGGTGGAGCCGACCGAAAGACGATCAGTGCACTTGTAGCCGTTGTACTGCTCGAATATTGCAGGCTGATTCATGTAGTACTTTTTGAAGACAGCCGAACATAAGCCCCCGGCCACTCTCCTTGCTTTCCCCATTAGGCAACGGCTCGTGGCCATAGTACTTGGAAGAGCTGAAAGACGGGAAAAGGATGGAGGAAAGTGTAGGTAGCAGGTCGGGGACAGAAGAGCAACAAAAGGAGCAATTATCGTACTGGAATAACCGTGAGGATTGTAGGTCTAAGAATCAGGTGAGTGAACTCACCAGCAGAGAAGACGAGGGCGACAAGAATCGTAACGATCAGGAGCTTGATGGAAGTCCTCATGATGTTTACAAAGAATCGTAACGATCAGGCGTAAAGAGGAAAAGTGAGATGATTTTGGCTGAGAGACTAAGACGATGAAACGAGTGGCAATCAGGAAAACTCGATGAATTCTGACGATTATCTTCAATGGCCCCGCATTTATCCTTTGCCTCACCTGACCTCTGCTATTCAAACGCGGTCACACTCGCACACTACTCTGAATGAAAGCACTTCGAAAGCGCGATGCGAAGGGCAACCAAGGCGAAATTCGCAGCGAATGAATTATTGTTTATCTGAATTACCGATCAGCGAATCAGAGCGGGTCAAACACCCCAACCATGGGCAAACCTCACAGTTACGCGTCCCGATGAAACTGGTAAATTGGGTCACGCCACGAAGCAGAAGCTCCGAGGCTAACACACGTCAGTTCTTCACAGCAAGTCAAGCAAATGCTGCTGACTAGATAGTATTTAGCTAATCAGAGAAGTCCAAACAGAAGGTCGAACCACCCACAACGCGTCAGAAGGGACCGGCAAATCAGGCCAGGCCACGAAGCAGAGGCGAAAACGTCGAATTTCACCTTCAAATACACGTCAGCTTGTCACAAATTGTCATACAGTCAAGCGCATACTCCATACACGCCACTCGTCGACCGAGAATCACAAATAGATTTCACTCATATTCCATACTGTGCTTCAATTCTAGATAACAATATCCTGTTCCGTATCACTCCGGAAATATATACTCTCATAGCGCAGTTTCTCTGAATTTCCATTGCGTTGGTCGCGGCGAGCAGTCCAAGAAATGCGCAGACTTTAGGGTTCCTCTGCTGTGCTCCCGCTGTCCGCTCGCGCCAGTCGCGACGCGACGTGAGTATTCGGGACTTTCGAAGATCACGCGCACAGCATCGTACCTCGTCGTTATTTATTCCAACTCTGTCGCTTTCGCTATCGCTCCTCGCATTCCTCGCCTTTGGTATCACTTCTCGCGTTCCTCGCCTTCAGTATCGCTCTGTCCGAACCGTTTCTCGTGAACGATTTCGATAGTGCGAGCTATTTAGGTATTCCGAGCAAGCTGAAATTATCGTGAGCAATTAAATGCTCGGAAAAGGGCAAGAGAAGGCTGGCGGCAGTGCGATGGTGAAGAGACGGAGGTCTGAAATGAAGGGGCTGAGAGTAGCGCGTGAGGTACGGGAGGAGAGGAGGAGAAGGAATGGGAGGAAGGACAACCGGCAGAAGGGCAAGAGAAGGTTGGCGGCGGTGCGATGGTGAAGAGAGGGAAGTATGAAATGAAGGGGCTGAGAGTAGCGCGTGAGGTACGGGAGGAGATTAAGGTGGAGGGGGGGGACGGAAGAGGAGGAGGAAGATGAGACTATGGAGGTGGAAGAAGAGGGGGGAAGTGACGGGGATGAGGGAGAGGGAAGTGAGGAAGGAGAGGAGGGGGAGGAGGGAGAGGAGGGGGGAGGATGGGGAGGAAGGACAACTGGAAGAAATGGAGGAGGGAAAGAGGACGAGGAGGAGGAGGAGGAAGAAGATCAGGAAGGTGATGAGGATGATGAGGAGGAAATGGAAGAGAAAGGTGAGGAAGAGGAAGAGGTGGAGCAGGAGGAGCAGGAGCAGGAGGAGCAGGGGGAGCAGGAGGAGCAGGGGGAGCAGGGGGAGCAGGGGGAGCAGGGGGAGCAGGAGGAGCACGCGGAGCAGGAGGAGCAGGGGGGGCAGGGGGAGCAGGAGGAGCAGGGGGAGAAGGGGGAGCGGGAGGAGCAGGAGGAGCAGGGGGAGCAGGGGGAGCAGGAGGAGCAGGGGGAGCAGGGGGAGCAGGGGGAGCAGGAGGAGCAGGGTGAGCAGGGCTCAGAGAGCAAGAAGCGGAAGCGGAAGGAGGGAGAGACGGGAGCCGCATGGGGAAAAGGTAGCGGGGGAATCGGGTTGACCAAGGGGGACATGGTTTCCAAGGAATTTTCCGTGAAGAATACCTCACAGAAGGTGTTGAAGGGAAAGCGAGGGAGTATGGACAAGGGAGGGAGGAGGCTTCGAAGGCAGAGAATGAGGGGAAGGCTGGGGCGGGGGAGAAGGGGAAGAAGGCGGGGACGGGGGAGTGGGAAGATAAGGTGGAGACGGCGAAAGGTGGCGAAGGAGGCAGGGAGCAACATCATGAGTGTAGTGGCGTTGGATACGCTTGGGCATCATGGGCGCAAGGGCATCATGGGCGCAAGGGCATCATGGGCGCAAGGGCATCATGGGCGCAAGGGCATCATGGGCGCAAGGGCATCATGGGCGCAAGGGCATCATGGGCGCAAGGGCATCATGGGCGCAAGGGCATCATGGGCGCAAGGGCATCATGGGCGCAAGGGCATCATGGGCGCAAGGGCATCATGGGCGCAAGGGCATCATGGGCGCAAGGGCATCATGGGCGCAAGGGCATCATGGGCGCAAGGGCATCATGGGCGCAAGGGCATCATGGGCGCAAGGGCATCATGGGCGCAAGGGCATCATGGGCGCAAGGGCATCATGGGCGCAAGGGCATCATGGGCGCAAGGGCATCATGGGCGCAAGGGCATCATGGGCGCAAGGGCATCATGGGCGCAAGGGCATCATGGGCGCAAGGGCATCATGGGCGCAAGGGCATCATGGGCGCAAGGGCATCATGGGCGCAAGGGCATCATGGGCGCAAGGGCATCATGGGCGCAAGGGCATCATCATGGGCGCAAGGGCATCATGGCGCAAGGGCATCATGGGCGCAAGGGCATCATGGGCGCAAGGGCATCATGGGCGCAAGGGCATCATGGGCGCAAGGGCATCATGGGCGCAAGGGCATCATGGGCGCAAGGGCATCATGGGCGCAAGGGCATCATGGGCGCAAGGGCATCATGGGCGCAAGGGCATCATGGGCGCAAGGGCATCATGGGCGCAAGGGCATCATGGGCGCAAGGGCATCATGGGCGCAAGGGCATCATGGGCGCAAGGGCATCATGGGCGCAAGGGCATCATGGGCGCAAGGGCATCATGGGCGCAAGGGCATCATGGGCGCAAGGGCATCATGGGCGCAAGGGCATCATGGGCGCAAGGGCATCATGGGCGCAAGGGCATCATGGGCGCAAGGGCATCATGGGCGCAAGGGCATCATGGGCGCAAGGGCATCATGGGCGCAAGGGCATCATGGGCGCAAGGGCATCATGGGCGCAAGGGCATCATGGGCGCAAGGGCATCATGGGCGCAAGGGCATCATGGGCGCAAGGGCATCATGGGCGCAAGGGCATCATGGGCGCAAGGGCATCATGGGCGCAAGGGCATCATGGGCGCAAGGGCATCATGGGCGCAAGGGCATCATGGGCGCAAGGGCATCATGGGCGCAAGGGCATCATGGGCGCAAGGGCATCATGGGCGCAAGGGCATCATGGGCGCAAGGGCATCATGGGCGCAAGGGCATCATGGGCGCAAGGGCATCATGGGCGCAAGGGCATCATGGGCGCAAGGGCATCATGGGCGCAAGGGCATCATGGGCGCAAGGGCATCATGGGCGCAAGGGCATCATGGGCGCAAGGGCATCATGGGCGCAAGGGCATCATGGGCGCAAGGGCATCATGGGCGCAAGGGCATCATGGGCGCAAGGGCATCATGGGCGCAAGGGCATCATGGGCGCAAGGGCATCATGGGCGCAAGGGCATCATGGGCGCAAGGGCATCATGGGCGCAAGGGCATCATGGGCGCAAGGGCATCATGGGCGCAAGGGCATCATGGGCGCAAGGGCATCATGGGCGCAAGGGCATCATGGGCGCAAGGGCATCATGGGCGCAAGGGCATCATGGGCGCAAGGGCATCATGGGCGCAAGGGCATCATGGGCGCAAGGGCATCATGGGCGCAAGGGCATCATGGGCGCAAGGGCATCATGGGCGCAAGGGCATCATGGGCGCAAGGGCATCATGGGCGCAAGGGCATCATGGGCGCAAGGGCATCATGGGCGCAAGGGCATCATGGGCGCAAGGGCATCATGGGCGCAAGGGCATCATGGGCGCAAGGGCATCATGGGCGCAAGGGCATCATGGGCGCAAGGGCATCATGGGCGCAAGGGCATCATGGGCGCAAGGGCATCATGGGCGCAAGGGCATCATGGGCGCAAGGGCATCATGGGCGCAAGGGCATCATGGGCGCAAGGGCATCATGGGCGCAAGGGCATCATGGGCGCAAGGGCATCATGGGCGCAAGGGCATCATGGGCAGGCCATCATGGGCGCAAGGGCATCATGGGCGCAAGGGCATCATGGGCGCAAGGGCATCATGGGCGCAAGGGCATCATGGGCGCAAGGGCATCATGGGCGCAAGGGCATCATGGGCGCAAGGGCATCATGGGCGCAAGGGCATCATGGGCGCATGGGCATCATGAGCACAAGGGCATCGATATGCTTCACGCTGTGACAGCACGAGAGCACGCGCAAGGGCATCGACGAGATGGGCTTCACATTTTACCTCCTTCCCACTCACACTCAACTTCCCCATTGCTCCCTTTCCCCTGCCCCTCACACCCATCGTCCCCCTTGCCTCCTTTCCCCTGCACCTCACACCCATCTTCCCTCTTGCCTCCTTTCCCCTGCACCTCACACCCATCTTCCCTCTTGCCTCCTTTCCCCTGCACCTCACACCCATCTTCCCTCTTGCCTCCTTTCCCCTGCACCTCACACCCATCTTCCCTCTTGCCTCCTTTCCCCTGCACCTCACACCCATCTTCCCTCTTGCCTCCTTTCCCCTGCACCTCACACCCATCTTCCCTCTTGCCTCCTTTCCCCTGCACCTCACACCCATCTTCCCTCTTGCCTCCTTTCCCCTGCACCTCACACCCATCTTCCCTCTTGCCTCCTTTCCCCTGCACCTCACACCCATATTCCCTCTTGCCTGCTTCCCCGCTGCCACTCACAATCAACTTCCCCTTGCCCTACCCCTCACACCCCTTCTCCTCCATGCCTCCTCCCCTCCTGTCCCTCGCGACCTGATGTCCGACCACAAGCACACATCATGCTCGTGTCCCCTCCTTCCGCTCTACCCCTCTCAACACACATGTCCCGGTGTCCCTAGATCGATGGAGTGCCCTGCGATCTCATGGCCCACCTCACGGAAGCGTTACTACGTGACAAAAGTTGTGTTTTGAGTCGTCTCAAAACCCTCCTCCCGCTCTACCCCTCTCAACACACATGTCCCGGTGTCCCTAGATCTGCGGAGTGCCCTGTGATCTCATGGCCCACCTCAGGCAAGCGTTACGTGATAAAAGTTGTGTTACACACATGTCCTGGTGTCCATAGATCTCCAGAGTGGCTTGCGATCTCATGACCCACCTCAGGCATGTCGGCATGGGAATAAGCAATAGGTACCATCCTCTCCGCATCCCCTCCCCACCCCTTCCTTTTTGCTCTGACTCAACTTAAATGCCATCCTCTCCGACCCCCACCCTCGTGTCCCCCATACTCCCACCTACCATACTTCCCGATTTGATTAAAGAGAAATCTTCGGAGTGGCTTGGGTCTTGATGGCACATCTCAAGGAGGCCTTCTACATGCTGATGGCCCGGGGCGCGGCAAGAATTTCAAGTTTGAATTGCTACATATCGTTACAAGCTTGAAGGACGGTATTTGATTCTTTCTTCAAGATTTGTGTGTGTAGGAATAATGCAATTATAGCTAATGACTGCATTCCAGCCAACCCCTTCCCCTCCCAGCCCACACCCCCCACAGCCCCCCACACCCCCCCCCACACCCCCCCCTCTTCCCTCCCTCCCCCCCCTCTCCCCCCTTCCCCCCTGCCTCTCTTCTCCCTCTCTCGTTTGTTATGTGGTGTCCAATCAGGATGACTGGATCAGGAATACATTCGTTTTAAATGTAGTTTGTGTATGCTATAAAAAGGGATCCATGTAAGTGTGACACACTGTTACCAACATACCGTACCCACCAAACACAAATCAGAACACGTGCATTTTATCCTCGGTGACAAGAATGTGATGTCACAACAATCCCACTACTATATGATCATAATACGTACATTGGATACACCACAAAAGCGCAAGAACTTGCGGTCCCAGACTAGATCAGCCGCAATATCACGTACAACCCCAAAACACACAATGACGTTTGCAAGAACCTGATTGCTAAGGCACGTACAGAGGAAAGGCGCCCTTTTGACTGTCCACCCAGTCCTACTAGGGCGTACAGATAATACCAGCCTTGGGACAACCGTAGCAATCGTACAGGTTAAATTGCATGAATAATTTTCTCGAATTGAAATAATAATTCACGAGTAAGGCCGAACATCAGGCCCCTAGATTCGTTTTGAGGTAGTCTGAGGCCTCAGAGTACACCCCTCCTGGAACTCTGTCTGTCAGAGGTGCCTCAAAATTTTAGTCTGAAAATTCAGACAAGCACAATTTTTTTTGTCTGAACTGTCAGAGTTACTTCAAATTTTAAGATGTTCGTGCAGTTTCGTAAAAGCCGTTATAATAGCATTGAAGCTGATTACAGCCTACCATACCAACGCATCAGGCAACGTGCTCGTGCTCGTGCATCGCCTCTGCTCATGTCGGCGGCGTTCCGGTGTTTTTGTCACGTGCAGCGCATGGTTGTTTCTGCTCTGCTGATCTCATTTCGTTTTGTCATGTGTGTGATTACCGTTCTGTACCCATTTTCTCGCATGTGTGCCGATTTTGTCAGTTTTGGATTTGCTTTTCAAGGGATTCGATCGTTCACCCGATCTGTATCAGGTGGGCCAAGTGCCACGCAGCTGAGCTGGCAGCAGGCAAAAACTGTTGCTTGGCGTGGCATGTGAGGATCAGACAGTGCCACACGAAACTTTCACTATGGATCAGGAACTTCGCAATTCACACCAGTGCGTGCTGCAGATGTTTTTACAGCGAATCAGCATCAAAGTCGCCTATTCTTTACAATACATTAGCGATAACTTACATGTGACGAGATTTTGTCCTCAGAAATCTCGTAATCACGCAACCATTTCCTCAGCGTAACTGGAAGATATTCTCGACGAACGAGTGTATTTGGATGTCCCAACTGTCGAAGTGAGTGTTGCTCACGTCCTGGCACTCCACTGCCATCTCGGAAGTGGGCATATCGGAAGGAAACTTCCAGGAAACTTTGCTCCGATAAGCGCGCAGAGTGTACCCCCGATACAAGTCTGAGGCTCAGCCTACCCTAGTAAAATTAGGCTGAAATTTCAGACAACTCATAAGAAAAACCTCTGGAAAATCAGACAAGGTACATAAATAAATTCTTTGAGTTCAGACTAGGTACAAGAAAAAAGTCTGAACGGACTCTGATTCAGACTCCAAAGTCTGATATCTAGGGCACTGCCGAACATGTGTCCGTGCTTGTCACCGTCCGGGTCTTTGTTCCGTAGGGGCACGTCGTCACAGCCGTACTCGGAAGAACTGTCGTGAAAAATGGGAGGGGGAGTATAAGTGGCAGAACGGGGACTGTAGAGTAACCAAGGAAATATTCCACTGAAAGGCGACTCCGCTGGACAAGATTTTACAATTTCTCAAGTTGAGTCCGAAGCCAGCGTGAGGATTATAATGAGGGCCACTCGACGGTCGAGAATGATGAGTGCGCGTGAAACTTGTTACGAATAGTAATACTTGAATATTACTGTGCACTCCTCACCGCAGCAAAGAGAAGCACGCAGTATCGCGAATGAACGCGAAGCGTCAGACGGTTGGAAACGACTCGAAGCGTCAGACAGTTGGGACGCATCTGAACCGTCGGAGCAGACAGCATCAGGCAGCTGCAGGCAGGATGGCTTCGGCGGGAACAGTTTCGTAACTGTTCGCGCCGCACGGTTGGGAATGTATTTGAATAAGGGAATGTACCCCTTAGAGTACATGGCTAGCTAGGTCGTTTCATCTCCGCTGTACTCATATTTATATTTGCTGTATTTGCATGTTTTATTTATCTCAAGCATTTACATTCACTCTGCTATTGAGGTCAAGGGCCCACCAACATCACTTCTCTGCGTGCGAACCTTCCTGAGTAGATCCTAGGCCACGATCAACTACTGATCGCAGCAAAACTTACCAGCAGAGGAGAGGAGGACGGCAAGAATTGCCACGAGCAGGAGCTTGATGGAAGTCCTCATGATGTCGATCAAGCGCGAAAACCAAATTGTTATGACTAAAGCAGAATGGCTTTAGTGACGAGTACTAAGAAAAGGGAATATGACGAGTACTAATAAAAAGGCAAGCTCGGAGTATCAATGGCTCGATGAATTCTGAATCTGAAATTGCTCCGCTTTTATCCTTTGCATGCGCTTACCTTTATTCAAGCGCGAGGTGACCGCCTTGCTCGGAACGCGCTTCCAAAACGCATTTGGATGACCAACACTGGCGAAATATGCGGCGAAATGAATTATTGCCGACTGAAATGCCGCTCAGCGAATCACAGCGAGTCCAACACTAACGCACGTGACTAAAAACCCCAAGAATGGCCGAACCTCACAATACGCAACGCGTCAGAAGAATCTGGCAAATGGGAAGACGCACCACAGTCGGAAGGAATCGGACATGTCATGGATGGAATGGGGCACATCAGCATGTCATAGGAGTCAAACGCGTTCCAAAATCCATGATCCAGTCCAGTCTCATAAGCCTACTGTTATGAATGAACTTGCAGAGTGCGCAATAAAACGAATATCGAGAATGCGAATTACAGAATGACGATACAATGGAAGTGACGAGGCCTAAATAGGGAAAGTCCTAGCTAGGCGGAGAGGTTGGGCGAGGATGGCTCGGTGATGGTTGCGATTGGTGCGGAGGCGACTCGGGAGTGGTTCGGTGCGACGAAATAGGAAGGACAGGTTCGTCGCGTGACCCTCGGGAAGGCCTCGCTAACGAGTGCCTCAGTAAGGATTTGTAAATCCTTACACCTACGAGAGCGTGTTATGCGAAGCATTCGCATGTTACGCAGATGACTCCCAAGCTGAAACGGATCGGTTTGACCTTCTGATGACGCGCCGAATTAGGCTGACACGCTTTTGATTTCAGTCCCAGATGTAGCCAGAAACTAAGGTCGGTGACCCTGTCTCAAAGAATAGGTCAATCCGGGGCTAATCTGTACGGTCCTTGAGTCTGCACTGAGAACCCATATCACGCATTGGTAGTCTATTATCGTTTCGAACAATTAATGTAACACCATTTAACTGTACCCCCGTGTACACTCCAAGAAAAATATTACAAGCAGATACTTCTAGAACATCTGTCAGCCATTACATCGAGCGGAGTTGTGTCCAGAACCCAGAATATGTCGGCATCCCACCCAAAACCCTTCCATATCAACCAACTCCCCAGACCTCTTACTTTCTGGTAGGCTTTGATAAAGCAGGGTTTATCTGTCTTTGATTTCCTTGTTCGCGGTGTGCAATCTGCTGCGCTCCCGCTTTTCCGTTGCCCCCTCGCGACGTGATTCTCCGGATTTGCGAGGAACGACCGCTTGCACTGCTTCACACCTCGTCGACATTCTATCAACCTCGGTCGCATTCATTGCAATCGTTCTCCCGTTTCCGGGGAGGGAAAGCCGTCCCTTATTCGAAGCAGTTTTATTGTTATTCCATACGGTTGTGCGACTTGGACTTCTTTTTCGCGAGGGTTTAAATGCCGGGGAAGGGCCAAGGAAAGAGCGGCGGCGGTGGAATGGTGAAGGGAGGAAAAAAGAAGACCGAAATGAAAGGGTTGAAAGTAGCGCGTGAAGCACCGGAGGAGAATAAGGTCGAGGAAGAGGAAGAAGAGGAAATGATTGAGATGGAGGAGGAGGGGGAGAGTGAGGGAGAAGAGGAAGAAGGGAGTGAGGAGGAGGGGGAGGAAGGGGAGGGAGAGGAAGAAGAGGAGGGGGAGGAAGAGGAGGAAGGACAAGCGGAGGAAATGGAGGGAGGGGAAGAGGACGACGAGGAAGAGGAGGAGGATGAGGATGTTGAGGAAGAGGAAGGTGAAGAGGAAGGTGAGGAAGAAGAGGAGGAGGAGCAAGAGGAGCAGGAAGAGCAGGAGGAGCAGGGTTCAGAGAGCAAGAAGCGGAAGCGGAAGGAGGGAGCGAAGGGCGCGGGAGACGCGGAGAAGACAGCGGCGGGATCGGGGGGTTCCGCGGGATCGGCGGGGAAGAAGGTCGCGGTCGGGACGACGAAAGCGGACATGGTTGCCAAGGAAGTTTCCGCTAAGGACACGCCAGGGAAGGCAAAGAAAAGCAAGGAGGGAAAGAAGGAGAAGGGGGGGGATACGGCGGAGAAAGCGGGAAAAGGGGATAACAAGGGAAAGGCGGCGGAGACGGTGGAAAAGGCGGCGAAGGAGGCGGGGAGCAACATTATGAGCGCAGTGGCGTTCGACACGCTGCACATCTGCGACGGCACGCGCAAGGGCATCGAGGAGATGGGCTTCACGCACATGACGGAGGTAAGCGTTTCGAAACCCTGGGGTTCAAGACCCCATGTGGGTTTTAAGCACGTGACGGCGGTAAACCCCTAGACCCTAGGCCTGGTACTGAATGCTCACGTGGGGAGCAGCATCATGAGCGCAGTGGCGTTCGACACGCACCACATCGGAGATGGCACGTGCAAGGGGATCGAGTAGATGGGCTTTAAGCACATGACGGAGGTATGGGTTTCTCATTCCCGATGCGGGCTTTAAGCAGGTGGCGGAGGAAGCGAAGCGCCAGGGTTAAAGAATTTACGCGCTTTAAGCACTTGGTGCAAGGTGCTAGGGGTTTGACAACGGAGTTGGGAGGTTGGTTTACGGGGTCTGTACAGGTGTCAGGGTATTAGGGTCATTGACAGAACAGAAGATGTTTTTTCTCTGAAGTGGCTTCTGGCTAACGTCTTAGCTGAGAAAGGGAAAAGGAGGTCTCCCATTTGTCAACCCGCTTCATTTCACAACCAGGATATAAGAAGGATTTTTGAGGCGCCTCAAAAAACAACCCGCTTCATTGCAGAACCAGGTTATGAGAAAGGAAGAGGAGGGTTGTTTTCCTTCATTCAACCCTTTCGTTTCAAGCTGGGCATTATTCCACCTTGTTGCTAACCTTTTCCCCTCCCTTTATGTTTCTCTTTTACCTTTTTGTTCATCTCCCACAGGTCCAGGCTCGGACCATACCGCACCTGCTGGCTGGGAAGGACGTGCTAGGTGCGGCGCGCACAGGCTCGGGGAAGACCCTGGCGTTCCTCATCCCCGCTATAGAGCTGCTGTTCCGCGGCAACTTCATGCCGCGCAATGGCACGGGCGTGATTATCATCTCTCCCACTCGCGAGCTTGCCATGCAGGTGGGTTTTCTAGAGAGAGATGTGCGTTTGGTGGGTTTGGGGATGCACGGTGGGTGGGGAAGGAAAGGCGCCATTATTCCTTGATGCGCGCAACGGCACGGGCCGAGGATCATAATCTCCTTCCTCCATTTCTCCCACGCACCTCCCCACTTCTCCCCCTCCCCTCTTCCCCCTTCCCCTCCCACTCTTTCCTCTCTCCTTCTTCCATCCTCGCACCCCCATGGCTCGGGGTAGACCTTCGGCATAGTGATGGGTGGGGTACCTCCTTCCTCCCTGTTTCTCACACCCCTTCAACCCACTCCCACCTACTTCCTTCCTTATTCGCTCCCTCAGATCTTCGGAGTGGCTCGGGATTTGATGTCCCACCACAAGCAGACCTTTGGCATTGTGATGGGCGGTGCGAACCGCAAGGCGGAGGCGGAGAAGCTTATAAAGGGGACGAACCTGCTGGTGGCGACGCCTGGGCGGCTGCTGGACCACCTGCAGAACACCAAGGGGTTTGTCTTCCGGAACCTCAAGTGTGTCGTGATCGACGAGGCGGATCGCATCCTCGAAGTGGGATTCGAAGAGGAGATGCGGCAGATTCTGAATCTCCTGCCCAAGGTGCGTGAGTGGTGCTCCGTGCGTGAGTGGTGATCCTCAACCTGCTTCCCAAGGTACGGTCGCAAACACTCACCCACTCACCCACTCACCAGCTGTTCACTTCCAGTACAGAACACCAAGGGGTTTGTGTGTCGCAACCTGAAGTGCCTTGTGATCGACGAGGCGGATCGCATCCTGGAAGTGGGGTTTGAAGAGGAGATGCGGCAGATTCTGAATCTCCTGCCCAAGGTGCGTGAGTGGTGTTCCCAAGGTGAGTGTGATGATCCTCCCAAGGTGAGTGTGTGTGGTGATCCCAAGGTGAGTGGTGGTCGCCAGGGCGGAGCGGCTGATGGATCACTTACAGAGCACCAACCAAGGGGTTTGTGTGCCGCAACCTCAAGTGCCTCGTGATCGACGAAGCAGATCGGATTCTGGAAGTGGGATTTGAAGAGGAGATGCGGCAGATCCTCAACCTGCTGCCCAAGGTGCGGTCGCAAACACTCACCTGCTGTGTGATAATCCCAAGGTGCGTGTGTGATGATCCCAAGGTGCGTGTGTGATGATCCCAAGGTGCGTGTGTGATGATCCCAAGGTGCGTGTGTGATGATCCCAAGGTGCGTGTGTGATGATCCCAAGGTGCGTGTGTGATGATCCCAAGGTGCGTCTGTGATAATCCCAAGGTGCGTGTGTGATGATCCCAAGGTGCGTCTGTGATGATCCCAAGGTGCGTCTGTGATGATCCCAAGGTGCGTCTGTGATAATCCCAAGGTGCGTGTGTGATGATCCCAAGGTGCGTCTGTGATGATCCCAAGGTGCGTCTGTGATGATCCCAAGGTGCGTCTGTGATGATCCCAAGGTGCGTCTGTGATGATCCCAAGGTGCGTCTGTGATGATCCCAAGGTGCGTCTGTGATGATCCCAAGGTGCGTGTGTGATGATCCCAAGGTGCGTCTGTGATAATCCCAAGGTGCGTGTGTGATGATCCCAAGGTGCGTCTGTGATGATCCCAAGGTGCGTCTGTGATAATCCCAAGGTGCGTCTGTGATGATCCCAAGGTGCGTCTGTGATGATCCCAAGGTGCGTCTGTGATGATCCCAAGGTGCGTCTGTGATGATCCCAAGGTGCGTCTGTGATGATCCCAAGGTGCGTCTGTGATGATCCCAAGGTGCGTCTGTGATGATCCCAAGGTGCGTCTGTGATGATCCCAAGGTGCGTCTGTGATGATCCCAAGGTGCGTCTGTGATGATCCCAAGGTGCGTCTGTGATGATCCCAAGGTGCGTCTGTGATGATCCCAAGGTGCGTCTGTGATGATCCCAAGGTGCGTCTGTGATGATCCCAGGGTGCGTCTTTTCCCTCTCCCATGTGCCCCTCACCTTTGACAGGACCGCCAAACGATGCTCTTCTCAATCGAGCCCCACCTAGAGGCCATGGGTTTGCGTGATTGTGTTTGCGTTTGTAGTAGGTAGGTGATTGTGTTTGCGTCTTTTCCCTCTCCCATGTGCCCCTCACCTTTGACAGGACCGCCAAACGATGCTCTTCTCAGCCACTCAGACCACCAAGGTGGAGGACCTGGCACGAGTCAGCTTCAGCCGCACTCCCGTCTACATTGGTGTCGACGACGGGCGGCACAAGGTACTGTAGTTAACGGGTGGCACAACGTACAGTAGAGCTTCAGTCGCACTCCCGTCTACATTGGCGTCGATGACGGGCGGCACAAGGTACTGTAGCTCCAGATGATGACGGGCGGCACAAGGTACTGTAGCTCCAGATGATGACGGGCGGCACAAGGTACTGTAGCGCCAGATGATGACGGGCGGCACGAGCTATTGTAGTGTTGGAGGGCGGGTGGCAGGAGGTATTGTCGCTGCAGGCTACGGGCGGGGTGAGGTAGTGTTTGGTGATGTTCGGCAGCTCACCACCAGTGTCGCTGGTGCGGTAGTGTTTGACAATTTGAGTGCATGTGTAGGCAGTGGATAGGATGGCACAGACTTAGACGCGTGTGCTGCTTTCTTTCCAAATCACTCACTCACACTGCCCACCGTGAGACTGGTGCAGGGGTGCTGCAAGGTGGGTTGGGGTGGGGTGGGGTGGAGTGGGGTGGAGTGTGTGCACTGCCACTTAGTGTAATGCCACACCACACCCATCAATGTTGCCTGCCGTTTGCCTCCCCCATTCCCCCTCACTCTATGTTGCCTGCGCCCTGCCGACCTCATAGTTCAATGATCCGTGCCTGTGCTTCCATGCAGGCCACGGTGGAGGGCCTGGAGCAGGGCTACTGCGTGGTGCGCAGTGAGGAGAGGAGCGCTCTAGTGTGATGGCATGGCGCTCAATGCATGGCTCTTATCCTTGTTCTTTGCCATGCTTGTACAGGCCACGGTGGAGGGCCTGGAGCAGGGCTACTGCGTGGTGCGCAGTGAGGAGCGCTTCCTGCTGCTGTTCACATTCCTCAAGAAGAACCTCAAGAAGAAGGTGAGGAGGGGGGAAGGAAAGAAAATGGCAGAAGGGGGCTGGGTAGTGGCCGGTGGCCCGGTGGTTGCACTTTGATGCAATGAGGACGAGCGCTTTTTTGCTGCTCTTCACCTTTCTCAAGAAGAACCCCAAATTTTCACTCATGTGACAGTGCTGCCGTGAAATTCTACTCAGAGCTTCTAAACTACATTGACATCCCCGTGCTGGACATTCACCTTCCGCTCTCTCTTTCTTATCACCCCCCTTCACCCTTCAGGTCATGGTCTTCTTCTCCTCGTGCGCTGCAGTCAAGTTCTACTCGGAGCTTCTAAACTACATTGACATTCCCGTGCTGGACATTCACGGCAAGCAGAAGCAGCAGAAGCGCACGACCACCTACTTTGAGTTTGTGAACGCGGACAAAGGAATTCTGCTGTGCACGGACGTGGCTGCGCGGGGGTTGGATATCCCAGCGGTTGATTGGATCATTCAGTACGACCCGCCCGATGATCCCAAGGTGAGTGACAGCCTTGTGACACTCAAGTGAGGAAGTAAACAGAAGCAGGGTAAGGGATGTGACTGCGAGGGGGTTGGATATTCCCGCTGTGGATAGGACCATTCAGTACGACCCGCCCGATGATCCCAAGGTGAGCGAGCAAGCAAGCAAGCACCAGCAGTAGTAGTAGCAGCAAACTCACAAGCAGAAGCCACAGCAGAAGTGGAAGCAGAAGCAGCAGAAGCGCACCACCACGTACTTTGAGTTTGTGTTGCATGAGGATGGCCGCTGCCTTGGACAAGGGCATTCTGCTCTGCACCGATGCTCCAAAGCAGCGACCATGCTTTTGAGTCGACTCAAAAGTCGCTCCGCTGTTCTCGATTCCAGAGGATATGCAGTTCCTGGTGTACCTGCGGTCGGCCAAGGTGCCTGTGAACGAGTACGAGTTCCCCTTTCCTCCGCCCGCTCTCTTTCCTCTCGCTCAGGAGTACATCCACAGAGTGGGACGAACAGCACAAGGAGAAGGTGGGAGTGGCCGTGCCCTCCTCTACTTCATTCCAGAGGATTTGCAGTTGCAGGTGTACCTGCCGTCGGCCAAGGTGCCTCTGAGCCCATGTACCCTCTTTCTCCTCTCTCGCCCTCCCTCAGGAGTACATTCACAGGGTGGGACGAACCGCAAGAGGGGAGGGCGGCAGCGGGCGCGCTCTGCTCTTCCTCATTCCAGAGGAGCTCCAGTTCCTGGTGTACCTGCGGTCGGCCAAGGTGCCTCTGAACGAGTACGAGTTCCCCAGCCACAAGATCGCCAAAGTGCAACCGCAGCTGGTGAGTTGACATTTCAGTGGTGAGTGCAGCATGGAGATCCCAAGGTGAGTGTGGAGATCCCAAGGTGAGTGTGGAGATCCCAAGGTGAGTGTGGAGATCCCAAGGTGAGTGTGGAGATCCCAAGGTGAGTGTGGAGATCCCAATGTGAGTGTGGAGATCTCAAGGTGAGTGTGGAGATCCCAAGGTGCCTCTTAACGAGGATGAGTTCCCAAGCCACAAGATAGCCAAAGTGCAACCGCAGCTGGTGAGGCGGTGGGAAGGGAAGAGCGGGTGGGCATGGAGTTCCCAAGGTGTTTTTGGAGATCCCAAGGTGCCTCCTCTGAACGAGTGGGAGTTCTCCCAAGCCACAAGATCGCCACAGTGCAACCGCAGCTGGTGCGTTGATGGGAGCAGCAGGTGGTGAGCTGGTTAGGATTGGTTCTCCCTACCACTCACTCACTCACTGCCCTTCTGCATCTTGTAGTGTCCATCTCTCCCCCCCCCCCCCTCACCCGGCCTTGTGCTCATCCACCCCACCCCACTGCACCTATGCTGCTTGTCATCTCCCTCCCTTCTCCTCTCAACCCTCCTTCACCCCACCAGGAGCGGCTGATACCCAAAAACTACTATCTTGTGCTCAGCCCCCACCGTCCCTCTGCTTGCTGTCATCTCCCTCTTTCCTTCTCAACCGCACACCACCCCTCTTCTCCCCACCAGGAGCGGCTGGCAGCCAAGAGCTACAACCTTGTGGTCAGCCCCCACTGTCCCTCTGCTTGCTGTCCCACTGCCCCCTCTTCACCCCACCAGGAGCGGCTGATAGCCAAGAACTACTACCTGCATCAGAGCGCCAAGGATGCTTACCGGGCCTACCTGCTGGCGTACCGTATTCTGCTACTCCACCTTTTGTCCCCTCCCTCCCTCTCTCTCACCCTCCATTCACCCCCATTCACCCCACCAGGAGCGGCTGATAGCCAAGAACTACTACCTGCATCAGAGTGCCAAGGATGCTTACCGGGCCTACCTGCTGGCGTACGGCTCGCACGCACTCAAGGACACGTTCAACGTGCACCGGCTGAACCTGCAGGTACGGTGCAGTATGGTAGTTGGCTTGGAGCTTATGTGGGGTACACTAGGCCTGTCTGGGGGCCTATCTGCTGGCGTACGGCTCTCACGCACTCAAGGACACGTTCAACGTGCACTGGCTGAACCTGCAGGTACGGTGCGGTACTGTGCGGTGTATAAGTTAGAACACGCTGTTCTACCTGCTGGCGTACGGCTCGCACGCGCTCAAGGACACGTTCAACGTGCACCGTCTCAACCTGCAGGTATGGCACGGTACGGTGCTGTACGGTATGGTACGATACAAGAGTGAAAACGTATGAGGGGCATAACAGGCATACCTGGCCTACAGCTCTCATGCGCTTCAATGTGCATTGCTCCCGCCGAACATACCCCCGCCCGCTGATTGTCGATCTTGCAGGGCGTTGCGGCATCGTTTGGCTTCAGCAGCCCACCCAAGGTGGTGATCAACATGGATAGCAACGCGTCCAAGTTCCGTAACAAAGCACACAAAGGTGCTCGGGGTCCGGGGAAATTCAATGCCAGCAGCGGACACGCCTTCAGCGCGAGTAATCCGTATGGGAAGCGTGAAAGCGGCGACAAAAGGCAGTTCACTAGAATCTAGCTCAAGTCTAAAGGTGGTTACGTTTCTTTATGACTGGATTTATGGTACAAAACTATCTGCTATTCCGGTTCTTAATGTGTCAGCAGTAAAAGGCTTGCAATAACGGAAGCTTTGCTTGTCAAGGCAGTGCTCTGATCCGGCAGAAACATCTGATTGACCAAGCCCACAGTCCTCAAGCATGGACAATCTGACTGAAACCACCCGACCTTGCTTTTGGGGCGTGGTACATCGGAGGGATTGTCTGAATCTGTTATTCCGACGGATATCGCACCACACCAAGTCTTACCGTTTTGAAACCGAGGATACCGTATATTACCCTGCAGTACGTACTGTGCTGGCTCAAGCCTCGTTGATTGTCTGTCATTTTTTGTCTGGCTGGATGATGACGGGTTTGGGGAGTCAAGTAATCTGAAAAGTTCCAGGCTATTCACACGCACCGTGGTTATCACCCTGTTGAACACAGCGGGGAAACTGTGCAAAATATTACACTATCACACCAGCCCAAAGGTCGGTATGAACTAAAAAAAAATCAAACAATTTCGTCTGGCATCGCATGGAAAAGCAATGCACAAATTTGATCACGCCCTGATCCACCGGATCATATCGAGTGATTGCAAATCGTCACCATCACCAGGTAACTTCTCGGTGTGCTTCCTACGCATCCTCACGCACCGTATAAGACACTGTAGCTCGATAAATTCTCAATCTCTTAGCTCGACTCGACCACACTTCCACAACAAACAACAAACCAACCATTCCGAGCCTGCAATGTGACACGTCAATGAGAGCGCTTCAGTACGGTATTGCTGGTATTTGAACGGTCAACAGGTTTCCGCTTTGGTCTGGTGGTTTGCCACGCAGTACGAACGAAAGCTCCCCTATCCGTCACCCCACTCATCAATTTTCCCTTGGGCCGAAATCCTCATCCCACCGCAAACCCTATCTCCACATATCTGGGCAACATGGTTGGTACTAACTTGGTACAGTTTAGATTTCACGTATACTATACGTAGCTGCCTTGTTGACAACTGGGCGGTCCCACCCAACCCCTGCCGACGAAACCGTCGCACGCTCGAGAGCTGGCAGTGAAACGTCTTCATGCGCTTTGATCTCCCTCCCATAGTCGGCTCGCCTCACAGCAACTGCTCCCCTGTGAAAGCGAACGAGTGACCTACATCACTCGAACCGCACTATGTATCTGGAACTGATGGAGTCCAAACTTCAGAACTCCGACAAAAACCCGTCTATTAGACAGAGAGCCGTAAAGGCTCATGGTTATCAATCAATACGTTCATGACCCATTCCCGCGACTTGAAGAGGCCATTGAAATCCATTCCCTTTCATCCCCCGAACCATTTCCTTAGCGTATTTCTCGGCTTCAAACTTCAGTCCTCAACTATAAACTCGAGGTTGTTTAGAGACCCCTACAGAACGCGAATTTGCGTCCCAACAATCTGCGAAAGCTGACCTTCTGATTACTACTCGAGTTGGGCTCGCAGCGCTGCTCGGAGCCGTGATCTAAACCTTCCACCGCCCCTGTCACGCAACGCACTGCAGAGTTATCGAAAGCATGGCATCATGCGCGGCGCGACGCACGACGCTGCCTGTCGTGACTGACACTCGGCGCGTCTCTTCGCTGGGCGACAGCGACGCCAAAGATTCGCTGGAACACATGGTCGAGGCGGCTTTTACCGCTGCTGCCGCCGTTAGCAGCGAATCCGCACTTGACGCCTCCTCCGCCGCTAAATCCGCCGCTGAATCCGCCTTCGAAACCGTTGCTGAAGCCGCCGCCGCTTGTAAGACCCCCTTACTCTCCTCGGGAACGTTGGCGACGCGGAGGAAACTCAAATGCGGCTCGCTGCGCCTCAACGTGTCCCTTGAAGTTGACGATTATGACGGCAAACTGGACGGCGCCGATGATTTGGCCGGCCGCCGCGGCATTCCCGGCGCCGCTGACGAGCACTTCTCCTTTGAGACGGTGTCGCAGGCGATGGCGGCGGCTGTGACGACCGCGACGTCGCCCACGATCGCATGGTCGTTGTGTGGGCGACAGTTCCGCAAGTCGTCCTCCGCGTCCTCCGCTCCCCTCTCCGTGGCCGACGGAAGCGCCACTCCTGCGAACGACGCCGCGTCACGACATGCAGAATTCTCGGCAGCAGCAGCGGCATTGCTGGCAGCGGCGGCGTTTCCGCGAGCCGCGTCTGCTGGCGCTGCGTTTACCAAGCCCCCGCGAAGCCCGCTGGCTTCCCTCACGATGATCTCCCCTTCCTCCCCTCCGCTCGGCGCTCAGCAGCTCTCGCCGGACGCGGCTCGTCACGCGGACGATCCACGTGGCACCACCACCTCGCACAAGCCCCGGCGCCGGAGTAAACAGAATCGTCATGATCACCCGGCGGCAGAGCCAGCTGCGCGGCGGCAGGCCGCTGCGCCACAGGCAGCTGCGCGGCAGCTCGCCGAGCTGGCGCGCGGGGGGCTGCTCTCCCCAGCTGTTCTCACTTCTCATTTTGCCTCTACTGGTGCTGGCCTGAGGCGCTCTGGCAGCACCCGTAGGGGTTCCACTGCTCCCTCCACTCCAACGGGCCTGCTAACCACTCCTTCTATGAGCAGCAGCAGCAGCAGCAGCAGCAGCAGCAGCAGCGCTGCAGGAAGCCGCACGACCAGGGCCCTTGTTCCTAGCGGGGGATCCGCAGTGACGAGTCCCATTGCTGTGGTCAGGCTGAGCAGTCGCGTGGGGTTCGTCAACTGGCGCCACCTGCCGCATCGCCCCGGCACCGCACCACAACCCCCGTCACCGCACTCCGTCTCACCGCGGCCCGCGTCACCGCACTCCATTTCCCCGCGCTCGGCGTCCATGGTCGCCAAGTGTGGCAGCGGCAGTGGCGTTAGCCGGCGGCAGACCTTCACCATCCGAGACACCCACAATGTTGCTGCAACGGCAAGCCATGGCATTGCGACAGAGATTGGTAGGGGGATGTCTCGGAGCCAAAGCTGGAGCAGTAGCAAGGGCGCGAGAGACGCTTACTGCACTGGTGCTCGTGTTCCTGCTACTCCCGTCGCTGCTTCCTCTGCCACTGCTGCTGGTGGCGATTTTTCCAACAGCAAGCCCGCTTCCGTCGCTCTTTCAGTTGTGCCACCTTCACCCAGCAGCACCCCCCTCCCAATGCAGTCACGATCTCCTCTTGGTGCATTCTCTGTTCGCTCGCACTCTGCAGGCTCCAGCCAATTGGACCGACCGGCTGGATTTGGCCTGCCGCCACTCTCGCCCCAAGGGCTCTCGTTACAAGCATCCTCAACAAAGTCACCAGCGCATGCCGTGCATTCCAACACAGGTTTTTCTATCAGGTCTCTGTCTGCTGAATCCAGTCTGCTGAACAGCCAGACCTGCTACAATCCCCAACAGTTGCCACAGCCCGGAAATCTACAAGTGTTCATCCCGTTACAGTCATCACCCCAGTTTTTGTCACCCCCCTTATCCCCTCTTTTTGCGTCACCCTCGGGCACGCCTTTGTCATCGCCACTCCGGAGTGCTCTTAAGTACTCGCCTTCCATGGATATTTATAGGGCATCGATGGAAGATTTTGAAGTGCAATGTCAGTGTGGAGCCGATGCTGGCTGCTCTACTGAGAATGAGAGGGGATCACTGAAGCGGAGAGTGTCATTTTCAGACAATCTCCATGTGATATGTCCATGATTCTAGTTGTTCAATACAGTTGAGGTGGATGTTTACATCTACGTTTTTGCCAGAGCATTTGGCTCAGGATGTGGTAGATCTAACTCTGTTGAAATTCTACATACAGGTACCTTATGGGCAATTGACCTAATAAAATGTTGAAGGGTTTAATGTTGTTGAATTCCTCTTTTGGAATTTGACGCATGTAAGGAAAATTCCTTTTCCTTACTTCGCATCCCTGCTCAACGCGTACATCACTGTAGCACCACAATCAGCACCGTTACCATTCGCAACCCTCGCATCGACAATCCGCCCGCCACCTTCACACGTCGCATCCCGACCTCACGGCTCGGCGGGTAACCCGCGCTCTGGGCCTCCGCTTCGACACTTTTCCCAACCTCAGTCCCAGGCCCGTCGCGCGACAACCACAGTCCATTACCGTTACCACTGTAGTTTCGCTATATATTCTTCGCTCATGCCTTCTGTTAGGCCCGACGGCCTAAATCCGCTAAAGAATTAGCGGGGTCGACTAAGTCGAGGATGAAACGCGGCGGAAGACTTTGGCGAAAGAACTATTGGCGAAATAGGCGAAGAAGTTACTGAGCAATTGAAGAAGAGTTGAATGAGAATTGGTTGATATTGGTGGATACAAGCAAAGATGATATAGCATGCAAGGTCGAATGTCGGAAAGTACTTCGTGGGACTAGAAAGTTGAAGCAAGAAAAGTAGAGTGCCACGTGGCACTAGAGAATCCAAGAAGATAAGGATAAGGATGAGTTGGATGGGTTGGGAAAGTACTGTTCAAAGGGAACAGTAAATCCCCCCTTAACACTACCCCCCTCCCAAGGAGGCGACGTCCGCGGCGCCTGCAGACTGGAGGTACGCTTGGAGGCAAGCGTTGTCGGGAGACAGCGAGGACGAAGGAACCCAGCTGTCGTCTGCTGCGTCGTAACCACGCCAACGAACCAAGAAGTCGATGAAAGGGACACCCCCCTGGAGACGGCGACGGTGCCTGAGGATGCGCTGGATCTGGTAGTCGGGCTCGTCGGTGTCAACAGCTACCGGCAGTGGAGTGCGGTCACGCCCGGAGAAGGTGGCGTTGGGATCGATGTAAGGACGAAGAAGCGACACGTGGAATGACGGGTGCATGCGGAAATGAGCGGGAAGGCGGAGGCGGTATGCGACTGGACCAAGCGCGCGCTCAATGACGAATGGACCAATGAAACGTGGACGAAGCTTGCTGTCCTGTGGCAGTCGGAGGTTGCGGCTATCCAAGAGAACACGGTCGCCGACTGCGAACGACACCTCACGACGACTGCGGTTGGTGGTGCGTGCCATGCGTGCATTTGCGAGCTCAAGGTGCTTCCTCACGTGATCATGAATGAAGGTGAGATGCTGGTGGAAGTTGTCCGCACGAGGGACTGTGGGTGTGAGATCGACACGAGTGGGGACATTGGGGTGCTGACCGTACAGTGCGAAGAACGGTGACATGCCTGTGGACGAGTGGTGCGTGTTGTTGTAGGCGAACTCGGCCATGCTCAGCTTCTTGTCCCATGCGGTTGCGTCGTGCATCGTGATGCTGCGAAGAATCTGCTCCAAGGTCTGGTTCACACGCTCGGTCTGTCCGTCTGTCTCTGGATGGTACGCAGACGACATGGCTAAGCGAGTCCCGAACAGTGCAAAAAGCTGCTTCCAGAACTTTGAAGTGAAACGAGGGTCGCAGTCTGAGATGATGGAATCTGGAACCCCGTGCAGTCGGACTACGTTATCTACGAACAGTGTCGCGGCTTCCTCTGCTGTGACCTTGCCGTGCGTGGGGATGAAGTGCGCTGCTCGAGAGAACTTGTCGACTACAACGAAGATGGCGTCGTGACCCCTAACTGTGCGCGGTAAAGCCATGATGAAATCCATGGTGACTACCTGCCAAGGGCGGTCGGGCGGTGGAATCGGCTGCAAGAGTCCTGCTTTGCGCTGGCGAGATGACTTCGTACGCTGACACGTGTCGCACGAGCGAATGTAATCCTCTACGTCCGCTGCAAGCCCGGGCCAGTAGTACGTGCGACTAAGCGTCTTAGCCGTCTTATCTGCTCCGAAGTGCCCTGCACTAACTACGTCGTGCGCCTCTGAGAGAAGGAGCTGTCGAAGAGGGCGGTAGGCTGGAACCCAAATCCGTGTGGTACCCTTCCGTATGTAGACACTACCCTGCACCTCTGCTCCTGCGGGCGGCTGCGGTGTGAAGTCGGGATCTACTGTGTAACCGTGCTCGAAGAGTGCTGTGAGAAGTGGGTGGCCGGCACTGACTGTGAGACTAGCGAGCTGGCAACTAGGGCGAGTAAGTGGATCTGCAGGGTTGCGCACGCCTGGCTTGTACTCTATCCTGTAGTGGAAACTCCCCTCCATGAACTCCATCCATCTAGCCTGGCGACGACTCAGCTGCGGCTGCGACTTGAGAAAGCAAAGCGAGCAATGGTCCGTGCGTATAACACTATCTGCCCCCTCTAGATAGCACCTCCACACCTTATACGCATGGATGATCGCGAGCGCTTCCTTGTCGTGGATCGGATAGTTCAGCTCGGCTCCCCTAAGCTTGCGCGACTCGTACGCTATCGGTTGCAACCCGCGGCCCTGGTCCTGAAGAAGCACTGCTCCTATGGCCTGATCTGAAGCGTCGGTCACTACAACGTATGGGCGAGTGGGATCAGGGTACGACAATGTCGGTGAAGACGTGAGCGACTGCTTCATCTGCTCGAACGCTTGCTGCTGCGCTGTATCCCAAACGTACTCTACGCCCTTCCGAAGTAGGTCGGTGAGTGGACTAGCGATCGATGCGTAACCCTGAACGAAACGACGATAGTAATTGGCGAATCCGAGAAAGCTCTGCAACTCCTTGACTGAGGTCGGTGCTACCCAATCCTGTACTGCTGCGATCTTCTTCGGGTCGGTCCTAATGCCACTAGCGGATACGACGTGTCCTAGGAACTCGACCTCAGGGAGAAAGAATTCGCACTTCGACTGCTTAGCGTACAGCTGCTCCCTCCGTAAAACCTCGAAGACCTTCTGCAAGTGCTGCACGTGCTCCTCTTTTGTCTTGGAGAATATGAGAATGCCGTCTAGGTAAACTACAACGAACGAACCTAGGAACTCGGAGAGGACAGTGTTCATGAGCGTCTGAAACGTCGCTGGGGCGTTGGTCAATCCGAACGGTAGAACCCTAAACTCGTACAACCCCTGCTTCGTACGAAACGCCGTCTTGTGCTGGTCCTCTGGAACTACGCGAATCTGGTGGTAACCCGAACGAAGGTCGATCTTGGAGAAAACTCTAGCGCCCTGCACTGCATCTAGGAGATCCTCTACTCTCGGCACCGGAAACCCATTCTTGACGGTGGCGGCGTTCAGTGCGCGGTAATCTATGCACATCCGTAACCCTCCGTCTTTCTCGGGTGCGAAAAGGATCGGTGCTGCCCAAGGCGATCTAGATGGCTGTATGAACCCCTGCGCTAGGAAATGCCTAACCTGCTTCGTCATCTCCTCTGTCTCTGCTGGACTCAACCTCCACTGTGGCTTCGCTACTGGCCTGCTCCCCGGCTCCAACTCTATTCGATGGTCTACTGCTCGGCTGGGAGGTAACCCTGGGGGCAACTCGTCGGGGAAGACGTCTGCGAACTCTGCTAATAGTGCACTCACCTCAGCAGGAAGAGTCGCCTTCGCACCAACTGTTGCACTCCCTCCTTTCCCTTCCTCAGCTTCCACCTCCTCAAGGAAAACCGCGAAGATCCGTGCCGCACGCTTCACTAACTGTCGCACACGAACAGCATTAATGATAGCTGTGGATGATGTGGCCCCATCGCTCCACTGTGGCAGCTCCCGGAACTCCCCGTCTACCTTGACGCTGCAGCTTCCCTGAGCCCAATCGAACCGAGTACTAACCGTGCGTAGCCAATCTCTCCCGAAGATAAAATCGTATCCGTCCAACGTCGTAGAGTCGAAATCACGCCTAACTGTGATC